AGATCAGACATATTTTACTTTGGTAAAGCCCTTAGTAAGATGTGAGCTGTGCTTCTGAGAACAAGTTTTGTTGTTTCTTTAAGGCATAGGCTACCAACGATACGTCGAGTGAGTTTATAGAAACCTTTTCCAATCAAACCCAGGTCCCCAAGTACATTTGGAATTATTGATCTCTTCATGTTAGACATTTTTTTTAGATTTCCACTTGAAGATCCATGTTGATAGATATTGAAGATCTTCAAAGTTGTAGTATGCAGGAACTGATATGCCAATAAGAAAATATCTTCTTTTTCTTCTTCTTCTTCTTTTATTATTATCATTATTATTATTTTTTTTTTTCTTTGATTTCTGGCGTTTACACATTTCTTTCCGGGTCCCGCCCAGGGACCTAAGGTTAGAAATGGTGTCATGACACTTTCCACTGACAAAAAAAAAAAAAAAAAATTAAATAGATAAAGCCCTTCGTAAAGGTGTGGGCTGTACTTGTCAGAACAATTTTTTTGTATCTCCTTGAGGCATGGACTTCCAGGAATCTCTTCAATTAGTCTACTGCAATCTTTTCCAACCAGTCCTAGGGCTCCAACTACAACAGGGATTGTTGATGTTCCCATATGCCACATTTTCGAGATTTCTATTTCAAGGTCCTTGTATTTTGACAGCTTTTTGAATATCTTCAAAGATACATTGCAGTCAGCAGGGACTGCCATATCAATAAGGAGGCACTTTTTTTTGTTTGTGGTCTTTAATAACAATATCTGGCCGGTTGGCCTTGATTGTTCTGTCAGTGTGTATTGTGTAGTCCCATAGAATTGTAACAGGTCCTATCTCCGTAACCGGGTCTGGGTGGTGTTCATACCAGTTTCTTTCAGTTTTTTCCCGTAGAAGTTGCAGATTTTCCAGTGCAGATATTGGCCCACTCTGTCATGTCGGGTTTTATATTCAGTGGGTGCCAACATCGTGCAACCTGATGATGATCAATCGTTTCTGGATATTTATCACAGAATCTGCATTTTGGGCTGACACAATATTTTAGTATATGTGCTTGATAATTCCTAGTTATTAAAAAGCATTGGTCCTGCGCAGCAAGGATAAAACCTTCAGTTTCCACTTTCAACCCTGCACTACGTAGTCACTGATGGATTTTGTCTACGTCAGCTTGTTTGGTACGGACAGATTATTATTATTATTATTTTATTTGCTATTTTTTTCTTTTCTGGTCGGTTGCATTTGTCTTTTTTTTTTTTTAGTCCCCTTATTTTGTATCTTGCATTGGTTAGAAATGGCCCATTATTCATTTTTATTTTCTCCAATTAAAAAAAAAAATAACAGACGCACAAATACATAGATAAAGCCATTTCGTCAAAAATTTCTGTTCTCAACAGATCAAATTTTTTTTTTTAAAAAAATGGATTCAAAATCCCTTTAATGAATCTGTCTTAATTTTTTCCAACCAATACGAAGGATCAATTTTAACAGACACACACATACATAGAAAAAGCCCTTCTTAATGTTTAATTCTGTTTTTGAGAACATTTTTAATCAAGCAGATTTTTAAGGCATTTTAGAAAAGAGAAATCTTTAAATGAGTTAAAGATTTCAAATCTTTTTAAACATATTATGAGGGCTCCAGAAGAAAAAAGTAAAAATTTTTGTTGATTGATTCCATTTCACAATTTTGAGATATTATTTTAAAGTCTTTGTATTTTGATAAAAAGATGAAGATCTTCAAAGACAAAATAAAGTCTGCAGAGAAATCCGCCATTATTAAATAAGGAAGAATTTTTTTTTGTTTGCGATTTTTTAAGCTATTATTATTATTATTATTATTAAGGTGGTAGTAGTTTTCGTTTAGTATCTATCTGTAAAAAAAATATTTTCAGAAAAGGAGGAAATAGAAAATTTTAAGAAACAGTGTTTGAACAATATTGAAACGACAGTATATCTGTCTTCCTCAAATTATTTTTAAAGATGCATAAAAGTATAAGAATATAAAACCAGTTCCTTTTACAAATAGCTTGTTTGAAAAAACAAATGTAATATAATAATGAGTCAGAAACAAATGAAAGGAAATTAAAAGAAAGGAAATGGAAACTCAATAGTAACATTTCATATCCGTTCATCTTCATATTTTCCAAAAAGACAATGAAGGCATAAAAAAAAATTGAAATAATTTAATACGATTTTATAGAAATCTCCCGTCCTTTTGTTCCTTTCCCGGTGTATGAAGTTTGCATTTGTAATTATCATTTAAAATGGTTTCTATAATATTTTAAATTCATAGAAATCTGATTAAAAAGAGTCAGAAATGAAGAAAAAAATAGTTTGTTGAAATTCAATCCTAAACTATTATTAATATAAAAATTTTCATTTTGAGTTGCGCTTGTTTGGCATTTATATGTCGCACCATAAACTATAATGTCAGCCAAGCCCTTTATGATTTTGCTGTTTTCATTTAATTAAACAAAATACGCCTATAACTTTTTTGTGCGGTGAAATGAAATTATATTTACAAAAAGGCTAGAATTTCAACTTCAAATGATTTTTTATAAAAAAAAAAAAAACCTCAAAACGCTTTATTATTATCTTAGAAAAGCCTCAAAATTTTTTTCATTTATTTTTATTTAACTTTTTTTTTGGGATCTTTCATTGGGCCTTTTAAAACAAAATTTATCGAAAGAATTTTGATTCATTTTGACAAATATAAACCATTTAGAAGAATTCAAAATAATTCTTAGGTGAACCATTTGTATTGCATTAATATTTATATTACCATTTTAATAAATAAATCAATAAATAAATTTTATTCTTTGCTTTTGTTTATTTTAAAACTGTCATCAACAATTTAATATAGGTCCCATTCTTTCTGTATAAAATTTTTATTATTTTTATCTCATTTATTTGACTGTTTTTCAAAAAAAAATTCTTATTCCCAGATTTTTTCCAAGTTTAAAATTGTTATCGATCAAAAAAAAAAAAAAAAAAAATCAAAAATAAAAAAATAAAAAATCGTAAAAAATCAATGCCATAATGGAAACATGGGGACTTTTATTTTTAGAACAATTTTTTTATTATCTTGCCCGGAATATTTTTAATTTGCTCACAAAATTCCAAAATTGCAATTTTGGATCTACAATTATATAAAATTATTTTTTGGGGACGGATAATTTTGTTTTTTTCTAACTGTTTTGGGGAAATCCCTTTTCAAATAAGTGGACATCTACCAGTGTTACCTTACTGAATAGGTTAAATACCCAAATTAGACAGTCAGTGAGAGAGGATAGAATTGAGATAGAAAAAAAAATTCAAAATTTGTATAAGGGTTAAAAGCACGTTTCACGCTAAATATATGAAGTCCTACTTTTGACTGTATATATCTATAAAGTTGTAATAACCGCGTTCCTGGATTTTATAACAGTATTACTTTTTTTATGATTGTGTAAATACATTATCATAGCCTATTTTAATTATTGTGTTGTCATTCTTTGGATTATTACGAATTCATCTCGGAATCCACAAACGAAACATTATAATTACCAAACATACATTTTTCATTTGAACATGAGCTATATAAATATATAGAGTTATTCCCCTTTAATTGTTTTTATTTTAGAAAATAAAAGGGAATTATTTTCAAAAAAAAATAAAGGTTAAATGAAAAGAAGAATCAAAAATTTCAAGATACAGGTTCCGGAACATGAAGTAATTATTATAAATTGTATATTTTGTTTCGACGTTTGGGATTGATTTTTTTTTGTAATTAAAAATATATATATATATATATATATATATATATATATATATATATATATATATATAAATTTTGAAATATTTATTTTCTTTTAAATTCTTGATTATTAAATCAATTTCGATTAACATTATTTAATCATTTATTATTATTTCTTATCTATCTATATAAGAAGATTTATCATATTTGGTCCAATTATCAAATAAATTTTTAGTAATAATCTATTTATCTATCAAATTATAAAAGTCTATTATCTCTGAAAGGAAAATCTATTCTAGAATGTTTATCCGATTTCAAAAAAAGGATTAATGTCCTATGTATTAATCGGAACTATTTAAAAAATTCATTCTATTTTACTTTAACATAATCTTCCGCGTTATTTTCTATCATATTCATCGATCAATCTATTATCCGGGAATTTTTGAATCTATCTAAAACTGAGAAGATTTTTATTAAAGGTTTGTTAAAATAGTTTGAAAAAAAAAGTTAATAATTCAACTCGACTTTCATGAAATAAACTTTATTCAAGAAAAAAAATTCAGATGATTTGTAGATAGAACAAAGATAGATAGCATGTTCAGAAAAGAGAGAGAGAAACAAAAGAGAAAAATAATAATAATTAATATATTTCCGTTATTTTCTTCATTTTTTGTTTCTTTGAATTTGGTCAGGGAATAAAATTAGAATATTTAAGACAGGTCATTTGAGTTACCATAACTGAAAATGAAATGCCAAGAAACGCTTTTCCCATCAACCAAATATTCGTCGTCGATCTGTATTCATTTTGATTTAATATATACAAATGGCTTAGCAGTTTTTGCCTAGAATCCGAGAGAACGATTTGATATTTTTAAAAATAATTTTTACGTGTAATAACATCGTGTGTATTTTGATGAAAGATCTGTTTTTATTTCATAACATTAGATATTTTTGTCGTTTCCCTATTCTAAAAAAGGAGATAATATTTTGGAATCTGAAATAATTTTGTAAATGTCATAAATTTCATATAAAAATATAAATATCCTTCAATTCATTCCAAGAATGGAAAAACTTCATAGGCATTCCAGTTGAAAGTTTAATTTTTAACAATGATCCAAAGAAAAAAATCCCATTGAAAGCTATCCTTTTTGCCCATCATAAATATGAAATTCAGGAAATTTATTTTTAGCTTAAGCATTTAACAATTTTTGCCTTTTTTTGAGATGTGGTTGGATTAAATATAATTAACAAGAAGTTGATTTAAAAATAACAGAACGATTTTCATGAAATTAGATAGAGATAGATAGATAGATAGATAGATAGAAGATTTATCTCCTTCAATAGTTCTTTCTTCTTAGGAAATAAAACAGAATTAAGATAGATATGAAAAGTTTTAATAGATAGATAAGAATCAAAAATTTATATATATATTTATATAAATTCTATCTGTTCAATCTATGCATCTCACCCATTGATATATTGTCTAATTTAAGGCATATCTTTGAGTATATATATTAATATATTTATATATATATAAATATATAAAATATACATTTTTAAAAAAACGATTTTCTCTTATATATATATATATATTTTTTTTATATGTATATATATATATATATATATATATATATATATATATATATATATATATTTAGAGATATGAAATAGAGATTGAAAAACTGAGATCATAGGTATGAAGAAATAATGATAAATAAATATATTTTAAATATATATATATATATATATATATATATATATATATATAAGAGAGAGAGATGATAGATAGATAGATAGATAGATAGATATCAAGAATGATATATTTATATATATATATTATATATATATACAAATAAAGAGAATTCAGAAGAGAGAGAGAGAGAGAGAGAGATGAACAAACTGATATAAAAGCTATCTTAGAAATTTAGACAAATATGTTCTTTATATATGTGTTTATTAAAATACATCTTTACATTTATTATATATATTGTATCTATAAATATATATAGTAAATATATATATATATATATATATAAATATATAGACATGTTCAAACAGACGATTTTATATTATCCATATATCTACCATCAGTCTATTTATATATGCATTATTCATATCCATAGATATGAATCTTTTGTCTCTAGATATGAATAGAATATATATATATATATATATATAGATATATATATATATAGAGAGAGAGAGAGAGAGAGAGAGATGAACAGACCGAGATAGATAGATATATAGAGAGATAGATATGAACAGACTGATAGCTAGCTAGCTATCTCGATTGATAGATAGATATGAACAAACCGAGATAGATAGATAGATAGATAGACAGATAGATAAATAGATAGATAGATAGATGTGAATAGAGTGTGATAGATAGATGTGAATAGAGTGAGATAGACAGATATGACAGATATGAGCAAATCGAGATAGATATATAGATAGATATGAACAGCCTGATATAGATAGATAGATAGATAGATAGATATGATAGATAGATAGATAGATAGATAGATAGATAGATAGATAGATAGATGTGAATAGAGTGAGATAGATAGATGTGAGATAGATAGACAGATATGAACAAACCGAGATAGATATATAGATAGATATGAAGAGACTGAGATAGATAGATAGATAGATAGATAGATAGATAGATAGATAGATAGATAGTTAGATAGATAGATAGATATAAACAGACTGTGATAGATAAATAGATAGATAGATAGTTAGATAGATAGATAGATAGATAGATAGATAGATAACTAAACAAATAGATATGAACAGAACTTGATAGATAGATATATAGATAGATAGATAGATAGATAAACTTAGATAGATATTGAAGAGTTAGATAATGAATAAATCATAATAGATAGATAGATAGAATGGTCGTTTTGTGATAGATAGATAGATAGATAGATAGAGCCGATAGAAATAGATAGATAGATATCAAAGATAAATATCTAGATAGATAGATAGATAGATAGATATGAGATAGATGAAGATATCGCCGATTAGACTAAATTGTATTATGGAGATAGATAGATAGATAGATAGATAAATAAGAAGATATATTTAGAATAGATAGATAGATATATAGATATCATAAAATAGATAGATAAAAAATAGATAGATTTCATTTAGATAGATAGATATTAAAAGAAGAATAGATAGATAGATAGTCTGTCAGAAAGAAAGATAGATAGATATGAAAAATATGGATCATAATCATCATGATCATAATAACAACAACAACAATAATAATAGACAGAATATAGATAGATAGATAATAAATAACAGACAGATAGATATAGATAGAACAATTTTAGATAGATAGATAAGAACAGACTTAGATAGATAATAGATAGATAGATAGATAGATAGATAGATAGATAATTACATCCCGATTTCAGACAGATAGATAGATAGATAGATAAATAGATAGATAGATAGATAGATAGAAAGATAGATTTAAATGGTATATATCAAGATAATGAAGATATTGAGTGAAATAGATATGAACAGATAGAATAGATAATATTTTCTGATAGATATATATGAATTGATATATGAATATATAAACAGAATGAAGATAGATAGATAGAAAAGTCTTTTCCTGGAAGGTTGAGGAATATGTAGATACATGGAAAATATATATAATAGATAGATTAGATTGATATGAATATCTAGCTAGACAGATATGAACAGACTGGGATAGAGGGATTGATAGATAATAAAAGAAATTTTTCTAGATAATAGATAACATATTAAAATATATATATATTGTGATGAGATTTTATTATTGAAAGATTTCATGTTTAGATATTGAATTTTTATATCGTTCAAAATACACATTGCAGATGGTTAAAAGATTAATGAATAGGATCCAAAAATAGATGTGAGTTAAATACATGGTTAAGGCGGTGGAAATTAGTTTATGAAACAATGAAGAGGAAAATTAACAGGAGATAAAGATACCCATTGAGCGAAAAATTTTCAACAGTAAATCTGACACCTAGCGAAAAAATTTAAACAAGAGAAAAATTGATAGATAAACTGATAGATAAATGATGGAATTATAGATAACAGATAGAAACGACAGATACGAATAAATAATGGCGATGATGAAAAGATGAGGACGATAGTCCGAACAATGTAAATAGTGTAATAATACCCATGTCAGAAATATAGATAGATACTGAATAGCGGAAAAATATATAGATAGATATTGTATATCATTTTAAAAATGATAATAATAGTCCGAATAATGTAAATAATTAGATAATAATATCTTTCCTATAGAGACAGATACTGAAAATAAACTTTGTAATAAATATGGCGACAAAAATGAGGACAATAGTATATATATATATAGATGTATATAATATATATCTCAGATATATAGACAGATATTGAAGGGCAAACGTTGATAGATAAATATTCCACAAAGATTAGGATAATAAAATATAATAGAAATATTATAAATAAAAAAATACATCTCAGAATAGATAGATAGATACTAAATTTTTTCAAAAAATTGTGCTAAATATGGCAACAAAGATGAGGGATAGTTTCCATAATTATATAGTGTACAGAAAATAAATCAATGTAAATTTAAAATATAATAACTATAAAACAAGCTTTAGATATATGGATAAGGATTATTATAGTCATTTGATTACAGAAAAAAGGAAGTATAAAAAGCTATATAAATTTTGAAAATCTTTTTTAAACCAATAATTTAATTATTGCAAACATGCTTTTTATATGTATGCTTTTGAACATTTAAGTTTGAATAAACAAAGATAAAATAACTATTATATTATATAAAATTTATTTTATTTTAGAAAGATGTTGAATGGTTTTGTAATAACTAAATTTTAAAACATTTTTATAATATTTTATTTATCTATAAATGAAGTCAAAATAACGAATTAAAATCATATAAAAAATTTAATTTCTGAAAAGAATTTGTTAACATCAAGGCTTGAAATTTCTTATTTGTCTACTAGGTCCAAATAAATTATAAAATTTTATTTTTCTTTTAAACTTTATACGTGACCAACTGAGATTATCAATATTATTCCATTTCAAATTTTAAAAAAAAATATTAAAATTAAAAATATAAAATGCTCATCAATATGAAATCAAATTTAATTTTGTTTTTTGTTTTATGTGTAATATTTAAAATTAAATTTGTAAGTCTGTATTTTTGTGTGTGTCAGTATGTTTGTGTGTGTGTGTGTGTGATGTGTTATGTGAATGAATTTAAAAATTTTTTATCTTGAAAATTTTTAAGAAATGACCAATGGTTTAAAAATCAAATTACAAAATTTATGGAACATAGATTTGAAAAAGCTAAGATTAAAAATTCACATCATATATTAAACGAAACATATTTTATTTTTAGGTAACTTTTTAAATGCCAAATTGTAAAATATCATTCTTCATCATTCTTATTTATTTATCTATCTATTATTCCAGTAATCAATAACATATCATCTATCTAAAATTATTGATCCAATATATTAATGATCAACATATTTTGTATTTTCAATCATTCATCTATCTTTCTATTAATCTATCTATCAAAGGAAAATATTATTTTATTTTTCTATTTATCTATCTATCTATCTATCTATTATCATATCTATATATATTTAAATAAAATCATATATATATATATATATATATATATATATATATATAAATATATATATAATATTATATATATATATAAGATTAAATAATTCATATTATCATCTATTTCGTTATATCTAATATTTAAAATAAATTATTTAAGTTCGGAATTTATGTTTATAAAATTACTAATATTTTTATATATCCCATATATATATATATCTTATTCTATAATAAATCTATTATTTATGAAATAACAATTCAGTTTTCTATTATTATTATATATCTAAAAGTTTTATAATTATCCAACCTTCCATTTAATATTATTATCTATCTTAAATTTATTATATATATATGTTATTTAATCTATATTAAATTTATCTTTTAGTTATTTTAAAAGAATTTCAATTTATCCATTATCCATAAATGTTTATCTATTTTATTTAAAGTCAATGATATGAAATTCATTGTTTAATCTATTGAAATTTTAAATAATTAACATTTATTCCTTTTTTCTATTCATCAATAAATCATTTGATATTTCCATATCTATCTTATATTTTTATATTTTCTAACATCTATTTATTATCTATTTTTATATATATATATTATATATATATATAATATTTTCATGTATTTTCTTTTCAAAATTTTTAACTATCGTTGATGGATCTACAACTTTTTTTCTGATATTTAATCTATTTTTTTTATTTATTATTTGAAAAATCATAACAAAATTAAAATTTATCCATAAAATCTATAATATCTAAATCAATGTCTTCATGATCTAAATTTGATTTATTTTCAATCATATTGTTCTTTCTTTTTTCTTTGAAAATAATTTATATATCTATCTATCTATCATTGATATATCAGAAGATAAATATAATTTGCGTTTTATATTTGATAAACAAACCTTGGAAAAAGATGTTTTTTCTTGATTTTTTAGATATTTATGCAGAAGTTCATTCTATAAATGAAAGAAATTTTCATAATTAATTTCCATCCTTTTATGTTAAACAATTTTTCAAACTATTTATTTCAAAAGGCATAGACAAATTTATATTTCAAAATGTCAGTTTAAAATATAATATTTTTTTAACATTCTGTTTTTTTTGAAATTTTGATAATTAACTTCATCAAAAATTAGAGCTCATAGGTTTTGAATATAAAATATTCATTCTTTGAATCTAATGTGTAATAATTTAAAAGATATGTTTTATTGAATAATCGAAATTTAATAATTAGTTTTTTATAAGAATTTTTATTGAAAAAGGTAATAAAAATTTTTGAATTCCTTCCTTAGTTTTGAAACTGTCTGGATTGACCTGAATATGGATGTCAGGTTATGAAAGTATGGTTCTTTGATTTTTAATAGTTCTCCTGATTTGTTGAAAAACCACCATGACATGACACTATATTTTCAAGCTGGAATACATATAGGTGGGATGGCTTTCGCATTCAAATATATTTTTGAAGAATATCATGTAAGCATTTCCCTTAATGTCAAATTCTCAAAACTCCAAATTGACACGTTATTTATGGAAGCCTTCTATAAATCTAGTGTCGCTTTTAACCTGGCCATTTGTCTCGAAAAGGACCTCCAATCGGTTGTGGACTGGGGCAGGAATTGGCTGGTTAAATTTAATGCCTCAAAACAAAACTGCTTTCTATTAATCACCACAGAGAACCTTCCAACCCTGTCCTCCATTAGAATGTCTGACGCTCAACTTTCGAGAGCAAATTTTGCGACTGCTCGGTCTCACATTGACTTTAATACCTGATGGAACAAATACATTGAGTCAATTTTTCGTCCACCAGGAGGAAAGTTGGCTCCTGTGCCGCGCCAGGAAATTTTTCTCGCCGGAGTCGATCCTTCAAATCTACAAATCAACCATTCGCCCGTGCATGGAGTATTGCTACCATATATGGTCTGATGCCCCTTATGTTTGTCTCAAGGTTCTTGAGAAAATCCAGAAATGAATATGCAATGTAATTGTCCCTGATCTGGCATCTCGTCTGCAGTCGCTCTCTCACAGACGTGCCGTTGCCTCACTCTGTCTTTTTTTTTAATAAAAACTTTCACAGTAACTGCTCCGAAAAACTTCTTTCGCTGGTTCCCAGACTTCATGAATTTAAGCGTTCAACGAGGCTGGCATCTCGCTCTCAACCTTTCACTGTCGAAACTGTTAAATGTAGCCGTCTCTTCTACTCCAATAGCTTCATGTCTCGCACTTCTCGCCTGTGGAACTCCCTCCCCTTTTCCTGTTTTCCTGATAGCTATAATCTCCAACTATTCAAATGTAATGTCAATCCACGTCTCCAGATGCCTTGGTCTATCCCCTAACCTTCTCTTCATCCTTTCCTTTATCACTTCACTTTGCTCCTGCTCCAACTCTCCATAACCCTTTCATGCTAGTGGCTTCCCACCTTTATGTCTTCGTTCAAAATTTTTTGTTTGGGGGTCGACTATTTGAGATGGCAATAGAACAATGTTTTATAGAGCGTGGTACCTTGGTTTGTCTGTTACAATTGTGTTTATTTTTTGATTTTAAATAAATATATCGAAAATATCAATATAGTAACCAAAGAATAAGGAAAAGAAAAATGCAATGATAAAAACAAATATTTAAAATATGATCTGGCAAAAAATGTTAATGATAACAGCAAATTGCAATATTAGACTGGTAAAAATACCCTGAGGACATTATTTTTATAATACCCAGAAATTTTTTATCCTCAAAGACTTTGATGGCACAGTGGATAAAGGCGTTGGTTAAATCCAGCCTGGGACCCAAAGAGTATGAGGTCATTACCTGGTTTTAATTAAAACGGAGTATTTTCATTTTTCTAATTAGAAGGAGATAACAATAATTTCATCCATCAAATTATGTGGCATTTTGGAACTTTGATCAATTTCCCCAGTGAGGAAAAATAAAAATAAGAGTTAAACAAATTCCAATTTGATGAAGAAGGCCGAAACGTTGTTAAATATGGCGACAAAGATGAGGACAATAGTTCGAATAATGTAAATAACATAATATAAATAAACTATGTATATAAATATTATATACATTACGTGTTTTAGAAGATTCAAATGAAATTAACGGTTTTTAAATTTATAAAATTTAGGTAAACAAAAACACTAAAAGCAAGACAAATTCTGAAATAGCCAAGTTTAAATAATCAAACTCAAATATGGGAAAGATGATAAATATAAAAATGTACTTATAAATCGGAATTCAAACCTTTAATACAGAATATTATTGATTGCCATTATTTATCTTTATCTATGTAATTGTTGGATGTGTGTGTGTGTGAACGAATGCATGCAAATTGGCAATTTTTTTTCGGATTTGCACCAAAATTTAAAAAACATGCTTCAAGTTAGCAGAAAGGCCAAAGACCGACTTTGCATTTCCCAACTCCCATCGATAGTGGAAATAATCGATTTTTCATGCTTCTACGGCAGTTTTCATGTATTTAGGCCATTTTGTACTGGCCAGAGTGAGAGCCAATAGCTGGCTGTCACGAAATAGGCAGGAAGATTCTACTGGCCAGCGTGAGAATTTACAGCTGACTGACACGAATGTTAACTAGCATGCTAGCAAAAAAAAAAAATCGATAGCTGCATTTGTCACAAATGGGAAAATTTAAATCTGCATGGCACTTTACCCAATTGGCTCATTCGCTTGCTTAAACTCAACGTTGATTCTGATTCCGCAGAACTGGGTTGGGTGTGAAAAAAGTATTTGTTGTTAACATTCTTTTTTTCATTCGGTTTTCCAGTTACGAGTCCTTTTTAAAGCTGATCGTTTTGTGTTCATTTTGTTTAGTTCTTTTTTTAAAACAGATTTAATGTTTTTGTAGAGCTTAGAAAAAATTCCAGCAGTGTGAGATAGGCAAGAAGTAAGGCATGTAAAAAAATCAGCACGGCAAAATTGCACTCCTTTAAAACGGCAAGGAAGGGCAAAATATTTTAAGTCAAGTTATAGCGATTGCTGTATGAGGATCGTAAATTCTTTTTTTTTAATCAAGCCCGGGCAACTAGTATTTATTATTTAGTAATAAAACAAAAAACAATACTTTCAATTAAACATGAATTGAAACCTTTTGGAAATCTGAAAAAGACATGGTTTTTAAAAATAGAAAAAAATGTTATAAATTTGGCGTTGACTTCCCCTTAAATCCTTATAAATATGTCAATGTTAATAAAACAAAAGATATCGCTCCATTTTTTTGTCTGGAATAATTCTTTTAAATTCCATGTTATTTATTAAAGATATGGCAGAAGGGGAGTCAAAGTCCTTCACCCAGATGCAATAATCTTCATGGGCTCTCGAACTTCATCTACCTGAAACATTACTGGTTTTGAAAAAAATTTTCCAAAAGAATTCTCAGCGGACGTTAAAATAAACAAAAACGATGGAAATAAAGAAAAATTACAAAATAATTGTTTTTTTTTAACAAACTCAAATATCAAAAGGTTTTTTCACTTTGGAAAAAATAATAAGAAAGGAAAAAAATAAAAAATTTAAATTGATAATTTAAGTCATAAAATACTATAGATTTTGAAACATTAAATAACATACAATAATCATTATCATTTATATATACGCCTAATATAGAAAATTCTGTAATGCATCTTAAACATTCATCCGGTTCATAGTTATTTTTTTATTCGTCATCCACTTGTTCCATTTTATTATTTTTTAAGTTAGTATAATTAGTCATCTTCCTTTATTTCATTTTATTCACCTTTCAAACCGTCACTGAATATTATCTAATATTTTGTGCATTTTCTATAAATACAGTTATGGAATTATTTTTGTAATTTTAAGATTTTTTGTTGAAGATACGGAAAATTTAACATGGTAATAAACAAAAGTTATTAATAAGTTTGTTTGAAATTTTATGCATGCAAAGCAATTTCATGTGTTGCACTGGTTCACATTTTTAGTCAGTTTATGAACTTTTTCTTCAAAATCAATACCTGGAAAGAAACAATGCAGGTTCCTTAATAAAATGGAAATGAAATAAATGCTTGCAAGTTTCATCCTTCTATATACATATTCATATCAAGATAAATATATTTATATAAACCAATATATATAAAATAAACAATGCAAATAAGAATAAGAATATTACTATGAATAATGCAAGATTTCCCCACAATTAAATCACTCCTTCATATAAGTCAGCATGAATTTTCAATAATTTCAAAATTCCTGGAAAGTCTTGTATATATTTTAAATTTTTCTGAGTTTGAAATGAAATGCATATAACATTGATAATTCTAGCATTTTAAGAATCCATTTTAAATTTTCAGCCCAAATGTTTTTAAAAAAATAAATAAAATTAATAAGAAGAGTTGAAATGAATGCATGCAAGATTTCACAAATCTAGCATCACACCTTCATAGTCAAAACCTATGAATTTTTCAACCCTTCTTGATTGTCAATTTTTTAAAAAAATGCAGCATTATTAAGAAGAGTTGAAATGAATGCATGTAGATTTTTACAATTCTAGAATCACTCCTTCATAGTCAGCCTATGAACTTTTTGATCGTAAAAGCAAACAATGCAGTTATATTAATCAAGAAGAATTTATTTGATTGAATCATTTAAGATTTCATTCATAGCATCACTTTTTCATAGTCACCCTCTGAAAAAAACATATATCACTATGAAATGAATGCATGCAAATACTTCACAGTTCTAGCATCACTCATTCATAGTCAAGAAATATGAACTTTTCAGCCCAACGTCGTTACCTGGAAAATGAAAAATGAGTTATTAATAAGAAGAGTTGAAATGAATGCATGAAGATTTCATTTTATTCTATAAATCACTCTTTCATAGTCAGCCTCTTTACTTTTCAAATTGTTGAAAATTGAAGGCATGGCCTCAAAATCATTTCAATGAAATCACTGGACGTTTCTCTCGCTCCTGAAATACATTGTAAATAATAACTTTTAACATGCTGCTAGATTTTCAAATTACTCATGTGATGACCGTATATTTTCTGCTAGAAATCGTTGAGCAAATGTTTTTTTTTCCTGTTTGAACAAGCGAATATGCGAGTTTCAACAATAATTTGTCTTTATGGTCTTAAATATTCTAAGCTTCACTTTCATTTTCCGCCTATTGATGAATTTAATTTTTAAAAATAAAAAAAATAAGAAAAATATTCGTCGTTTTCATTCACGGTTAAATTTCAAGAATTAATTAAATTTGTCTAACTCAATTATAAAATTGAAGGAAATGGTCCTAATTAAATTAATTAAAGGGAGTAATCAGATCTGTATATGCAATATGCTGCAACATTATATTAAAATCAATAAAGTACTAATAAAATAATGGTCATCTAGTCACCAAATTTCATAAAGTTATGAGATAACGGTCAAGTTTTATGTTTCAAATTTCATATTGGTCCATATCAAAAGATATATTTATTTCATA